TATATAGTTGGAATTGAATTATACATTAAATTTTTTGCCGTTGAAAAAGTAATATTGAAGCTTTAAGGTCGCATAAACATTTTAAAATATACCATTAAAAATGGAAAATTAATTTTTTCTTTCTGAGATACTGATATTAAAATTAAATGTCTAAAATATGTTAAGCAAACACATATTAAAAAAAGCTTAAAATATTTTAATAATGATACTCCTCTTGAATTCAAACGACCTAATTTTGTGCGATTTAATTGAAATGAATGTTTAATTATTGGACATAATATTCTAGCGTTCACGTGCAACTCTCCCTCTTTTTTTCCTTTCAATCTCTCTCTCTCTTTCTCTCTTCCTCTGTATTCATCACATTCCCCGTGAATAATTAAAGGCTTTTCTTCTTCGGCATGAAGTCATGAATAATAAATTCAAGAGCACTTCTCATAATGGTAACTTGTTTTTGTACAAAGAATCGCCGACGCTGACTTTTCTCCCACACGTGTGATAATGAGATCGATTAACGAGACCGATCCAATTAAATCGCTTCTTCGAATCGCTCTTTGTCACGGCCGACAAACGCGAAGGGGATAAATTACGCAACGTTTAATTACATGCAATTGTCGCGGTTTGCTTCGCTCTCATTCGCGTATATGAAGTCATCCGCGACTTTATACGCTGTTGCCGATCGACAATCGCAATCGACTAAAGATCGGACTGAAAGAAATTATGGGATGCATTTTTAAAAAGATTATTTCTTTACGGTGAAACAACTTATTTCATCGTTCCGTTACCATCGGTTTTTGTTCAATTTCTGTGGGCTACCATCCGGATGGACCCGATTGCGCTACCTTAGGCTCGCCGTCACAGGCCATTGCCTCGCGATTACAGATCTCCTTACAATCGCCTGCTATGCTGGCCCGTTCGATTGCGCGGCATTATCTCGTTTTCTTCGAGGGAAAGTGAACAAGATGCGACGCAATAATGCTTGCTTTCTGGCCGGTTACAATGCTACGATAAACACTAATTAATTTGCGATTAACTACGAAACTTCTTTCTTCCCACGATCGTGTCGATCATCATTTTAAGATAATACAAAATTATTATAAGAAGTTTTAATTACATTTGAGAATATGCTGATTAGCAAACTGAACAATTACTATAAACTACATGGAGAAAATTTTCTCTTAAAATTTATTTACCCTGAAAATTATGGTGGTTGTGGGACAATTTTATGGTATTGGAATAATTTTATAAGAGTTTCTCTGATTAATATTTATCACAATAAAACATATTAATATGTTACATAGTAAAATTCGTCGAACATATTTTATATCTTATTGTAGTAAATATTAATACTTTTTATTATGATAAATATTAATTAGGGAAACTCATAAAATTCGTCCAATACCATATTGTTCCAAAACGAAAATTCTCTTTGTGTATGAACTGTGAGAAATAGATGAACATAAAAAATAAATAGAATAATCGCGATTTTCAAGTTGAGAAAAAATATACCATTAGCGCAGCTAGGATATTTAAGATTACTTAGTTCCATTTATGCTGGTCATTTCTCGGACATCTCGTTTGCAAGTCATATGTTTCACTTTCTTTCGAACGGGATAGCTGTCTGACAGTGCATAAAACGACTAGGAATGCCCATTGAATTTGACGATAAGTATTTGTGACGAAGGTCTCACTCTTCCTATCGTACAATTAGATTAGATGCGGTTCGAAGATCGCACTGCACTTTTTGCAATAAAAGCGAAATGATCGTTTCATCGTGATCGCGACTTTATGACAGTAAAAGAAAGTGTTAAACTTGACACTGCAAAATTCAACGATGAATATTTTCAACTCTTGGATTTCTAATTCTAATTTTATTCCTCTAATTTGAAACGATCAAATTTTTTTACATATCTTAATATATGCTATTGTGTACTATTATAAAAAAAGAATTGATAAAAGGTCATAAATATATATTGGAATAATTTTAATGTTATCGGAAAGAGCTAGTACCTTGATTATATAATACTCATGCACGAAAGGCACGAAAGCTTTATTGTAACAGGACCGACAAAATCGAAGACAACAATATGTATTCGTGCCAGTCGCGAATTTCGCTGTTCTTCTCAGTGATTTATATGAACGGCGGCTGTCTCTGAATTTTTATTTCGCGAAATGTCGTCATTCCTATCATTGATGCTGACGCCGTGTTGGACGTGTCGTAAGAGTAGGACGAGCAGAGGAGGATCGGGAATTAGTCAGGAGTCGTGAGTCACGATTTTAGAGAGGATCGTTCGATAGCCAAGGAATTACCGATTAAGTAAAATACGCAACCGTATGCAATTATCCTCGTTCGCGTGGCGCATGCTGCATTTTGCAAATTGCAGATGCAGTCGATCCGTCGATCGGAGTGTCGCGTCCGTCAACGACGGTCACGGATTTGTGACTCATTGCACCGGCAATAAATATTATTAGATAGTGTACGTTCGATAACGAATAGCGCTTACACGTTTAAGGCTTAAGCGGACAAGGACATGGCTCTTAAGTCCGCTTGTAAATTTTTTTATCTTCCATTAACATTTATGAGGACCTTCGTGCTAATTTTGGCGATCTATATCGGTGTACTGTTCTAAGATAATTGTATATAAGATATCAGAATTTTTTCTACATGGTTTAAATGAACGCTAAAGCTTCTTCCAAAAATCTTCCGCTTAATAATTCGCGCTGGTATTCGTAACTCTTAGCTGTCAAGCTTTGAAGCCTCGTTGCATAAATCATGAGCGAAGGAAGTAAGTAACGCTCGGAGACTGTAAAAATTGTCCGTGTCTCGAGTGTGATCCATCGTGTACGAGGACTTCAACCTGCGTGTTTTTTTTTTTGCGCAAGCACCGGTATTTCTGGCTGGCGGCGTATTTATGCTACAAGGCGACGTATCGGCGCGCAACCACACGGCAACTAGAGCGGCGTTGTTACCTGGAGAACGGGAGATTCGTGACTCATGCACAGCCAGAGTCACGGGGTGCAGCTTCCTTGTGTGCGCGCGCTATTGCGGTAGTCGTTGCCTAGGCCAATTAGACCCATCTGACCCAATTAGACCTTGTAATAGTTTAATTGCATCACCGTGAAAAAACATTAAATCTATCCCTGGTCTACATAATTTTGTTTTATAAAAAGAAAAATATATTGAATGAACTTTAATTTATTTTTTATATTATATCAAGAAAAAAGGAGCCTCTTTTTTAACAAAAATGTTAGCCCTTCTAGTTGTCAAAATATATTTGTACGTAATCTTTTAGGAAAACTCCATGTACAGTGTTATTAAGATAATTGTAAAGAAAATAAATCAAATATGATATGTGTAATGATTGAAGCAGCCATTGACAACTGGAAGTTTTAAATCATTTGCAAATAGGTGTTTTATCAATAAACCTTTTGTCGTGGCGAAAATTTATCAAGGACTCTTGTTCTGTTCATTGTTCATTTGAATTAAAATTAATGTATCCTTTGTTCGTTGGCTCCTCACGGACTTTAGGGATCGGTGAACTGCAGACCTGCGGGTATGTTGACAATCGGTCGATGAGTAACTACGGGAAACCAAGGCCGTGCTTTTTAGCTCGATAAACCAACAACAAGCCTCTCGTATTACCCGAAAGCATGTAACATCTATCAATAAAGTCAATTAATATATATATTATATTGATAAGACCAATTCGATAAAGCCAAGCCTTAATAAGTATATAATACAGGGTGTCCCTGTGAATCACTGATATACAGTTAGATTCCCGAGGTCATTTAGAGACGATTCTTTTATCGAAAATGTACAGGGAGATCAATTTTTGCAATCATATATCTTTTTGTAATTAGGCCTTAAATTAAAATTCTATTAAAGTAAATTCTACCTGAAATTAACTGGAGAGTGTAATTTTGTTAATATTTTATTTCCACGAGATTTATAATTAGTTTGCGAAAACCCTTCATTTTCATTCGCTTATATCTTGATAATTATTGGTGCCTCGACATTTTTGCTGAGGAAAAACCGTCTCCAAATGACGTAAGGAATCTACTGTAAATCAGTGATTCGCTGGGTACGGGACACTCATTAAGCGCGTAAGACGAACAAGATTGCGCGGACATAGTTTAGCAGTAGGTATCGTAACTAATTAACGGAATTGCCTCATTTAGTGAATGAGTTAATTAACACTAACGTGCTTCATTTAGAATCCACCCGCCGTTTTGCGATTATTGCGTCTTATTACCAGCGGCAGGATTTGTTATCAGGCATCGAGTTGAGAAACTCCATGTGGGAACAAAGCAGCTTACGTGTGTGGTCGTCGCTTAAACCGTGTGTACCCGCGATGAAACCAGTTCTCGTATCCTTTTGTTACGCACAAAAGCATCGTGTTTGCACCTTTGTCGGCGAGAGATCTTGCCAGGCGATCTTACATGCGAATATAAAAATTTTAGCCTTCTTTCGCGCTTTTCTTCTCCTTTTTTTGCTTTAATTTCGACAATTAAAAGAGAATTTTCTCTTTTCTCATATCTTGGAAAATACTTGATTTTTTAAAGAAAAGGAAAGTGAGACAGTTGGCTAAACGATTAAATTGCATCTAATTGTATGTTAATAAATTTGCGAGCTCCTTTCACTAGGTCATTCTCAACTGTATCTGCACCATCTTGATTTCGTATACATAAATATGAATGTCGTGGAACGTAATTTATGTATACTGACTCATAATACTGGGTTTCTTTTTTTCTCTAAGTTTATACCGAATGACTGTGCGCAATGTAAGACACCGGTTTCGTGAAAGGGATAATCAGCAAATCTTTGTGCCGTAATATCCTTTCAAATGTTAAATACTTCTTTTAAAACAGAAACTGTTCACATTTTACGCTCGTTGATATTCAACTTTTTCGAGAGTCGACACCTTAATTGAAATTGAAATTCAATTTAAAAATTAAAATTAAATTCACATTTCCATAATTAAAATATTATTTTCACATTACAGAGTTTGGAGCAGGAGAGGCATCTATTGCGAAGGAAACTCGAAGAAGCTAGAGATGAGAGCGAAGCGAGAGCCTTGGAGCTTCAGGGCGACGTAGAGACCCTCAGGAGTCAATTGGAGGAGCAAAATGAGAGAGCGAGAAGAGCGGAACGCGATCAAGCTACTCTCGTCGCGGAGTTGACAGCGCAAAACACGAGGCTGGCCGATCAGCTGAGAGAGGCCGCGAAACAGGAAGAGCAGTTGCTCATCGAGATGAAGGTCCTCAGGGAAAAATGCGCTCTCAGGAACACGACCCTGCAAGATCACGTCAGCAGCTTAGAGATCCTCAGGGACGAGGTGAATATAAATTTTTGATCTTAATCCAAGCGCATAATTACACATAATTAATATTATCCTATTTTGCATATAAAGGCTCGATTTTTTACAGTCATTTTTTTTCGCGATTCGTTAATGTTAAAAGTTCTTAGAGTTTCCTTTTTGTCTAATTGATCTGTGAGGAACGAAAGCTGTCATTATTAATCATTATCTATCAGAAGCCAAACGCGGTTCCCAAGCAGGGTTGGTTGAATAATTCATAGTATTCTTTTTATGAAAAGGAAGCCAGTAATTGTTGTTCACGTTCGCACGTGAATTTACGCATACAATCTGTGAGAAAATATTATCGAATAAAAATAAGAGTAACCTTCGATCGATCGATTCGATTCGCCTCGCCCTTCTCATTTTACGGTGGCAACTGGATATCGAGTTTCAGAAATCGTTGTTGAAACGCGCATAAAGTCAACATCCACTTTACATCTACTTTACATAAACATATAAAAATAAACTACCATAATATTTACTATATTTCTTATTTCATATGATATCATATTTTTAATGTTTTTAAGCAATTCCACGAGAAGGAAAAGAATTCGAAGCCAAGATTGAATAAAGACTCGAAACAATATTTAAATTGAGATATAACAAAATTACTATTGGTGTTACGTCACACGTATATCTTACATATATTTCAGGTACAACTGGTATCGGCACAAAGGACAGAGCTAGAAAGGCGGTCCTTGGAACTGCGAGAGGAGAGAGCCAGAGCGATCGCAGCTCTCGAGGAAGCCGAAGAGAGAGCCGCGGCCTTGGAGCGACTCAGCCACGAGGCGGAACACCGCGCAAGAATGGCCGAGCAGGAAAGGTGAGAATCCGCATTCAATATATATCATTATAGTTCAATCAACAATTGAATGTCAGATTTTATCAATTTTCACGATATATAATTCTAAAAAAATAGACCACGTGAGAACCGTATTTTTAATCGAGCAAATGCCGATTTTATCCGACTATTTGTGGATACCTGTTTGATATTTATTTGGTTGCATATTTCAAGAATTATTAATAATGATTAAAACACTGTTAACGATCATATATAATTTAAAAAAATATTTTGGACAATTCCTCGAAGATTCTCTTACTTAATGTCTTATGTAATTTTACAATGCATGTTGTTTCTTCAGGGATGAATTATCATCAGCATTAGCAGCCATCGAGGCAGAAAGGAGGGGTCGCTCCGGTTCGATACAGAAGCCACCTAGGTCCTTGCAGGCGGAGATGGAGTGCGAGGAGAGTGGTAGCTCGCTGGAGGAACAGGAGGACGGAAGTTTGAAGACGGAAGTGGCGAGAGCGACGAAGCGGTTGAGGGAGTTGTGTGCTCATCTGAGACGTGGTGAAGACGACTCGGGTCTGCAGAGCGACTGCGACGAGTCCATGCTGGTAATCAATCTCAATAATTCCGAACCGGAAGTAAGCACCAACGAGCGAGAAGCTCATCCTTCGCCGGTGAGTGATTTTGTCCTGCGTAACAATCTTTTGTTACAAAGATATAACGTTAGTTTCAGATTTATTTAAGCAAGCATATATATATATATATATATATATATTTACATTTTCAACAATTTCCTTCTTCTAGACAAATTGTCCGGGCGCGTTGCTGGAGCTGGTCGAGGAAGTCTATAATCTCGCGCTATCGGGCAGAGGGGCACCTGGTGAACTTGGACTAGCCGTGGAACTGCACAAAGTACGAGAGGAACTGGAGCATTCACGGGAACAGTGCAGGATACAAGAGGATGAGTTGAAGCGACGCGGCGACACGATTCTGGAACTGACGAGCAAACTAAGCGTCTGTGAAGCGGAACTACGTGGCGTCAAGGAAGAACGCGATCGCGCCAGAGGCGACATCGAGCACTCTGAATTGACAAAGGACGAGATCGTGGCGAAGGCTTACAAGGTGCGAGATCAGGCGGTAGCCAGGCAAAACAGGGTAGAGGTGGAACTGGCCAGGACACGAATAGACATCCTGCAGGCGGATAGTCAGCTGAAGGAGGCGATCAAGCAGAAAGTCGAACTGAGTCAGCAATTGGAACAGTGGCAGATGGATATGCAGGCGCTTCTGGACGAGCATGTGCGTAGCAAACTGACCCCGGTCTCGCAAATTGTTGCCACGAGAAACGGCGAGAACTCGGACGTGTCGGCGCCGGCCAGAAAGAAGAGGAGCACCAGCTCGACGAAGAAGATGTTCGGCCTGTTTTGACGAAAGTGACGTAGCGCGATGACTTCGTTGCATTAAACTGAAGTGATCGCGACTGATGTAGGCTGTACTTTTGGTTCCTGCGCAACTATCTCGCTATAAAAAAGAAGACAAAATGGAAAGAAAGGAAGAGAAGATAGTGCGAATTTATATAGGTATACCTATTTACTCTTTTAAGGACGACTGAATATTGCCGCTTGACTCAATCGTGACGAAAAGAGACAATGTTTCAGATTATCTTCTGCCATTCTTCTAAAGTCATTTTAAATGACTTTAGTCTCTCGCATTTACACGCGTCACGATAAATAGGGCAGACATGGAATCTGAATTAATCTTTAACTAGCGATTCTATAATAAGGAAGACTAAAATTAGTGGATCTCGAATTAGATACACTAGACTCAAGTGCAAACTGCGGGATTCGTCCTGACATGAAACGTTGACATATATGGTTGCATGACGTATGTGACAAATGTTAACTTTACTCACGATAAGGTACTTACAGGGAGTTTATTACGTCGATGCTCACGTGTCGAAACCGATTACAAATTGGATTTTAAGTGACGCGCATTTATCGTTGCTCGCAGAAAAAATAACACATGCATAACGTCTGACTTTCCCTGATCAATTCCTCAACTAGGGAAAGTCACGAATCGCGATTCTTCTTGAATCATTTTGGCGCAAAATTGTCGCGAATGCATTTTTCATCTTCGTCTTGAAATTAGTCGCGGTTTCTATGTGTAATTTTTTATCAAATGACTCGATCGATGTAATTCGCCAAAGACTGTCATTTTTATGCATTGAAAAATACTAATGACATAAAATTGCATTGTGCTGCTAATGTCGAATCAGCAAGATGAAATAATCCTATTTTATCAAAAATAGGAGGTTCTCTCTTATCAATGTTTTATCTTCAAGGAATTGAAATTTTATAAAATTTACTTAAAAACATTTTTTCCTTATAATTTTTTTATAAAAAGTACAAAAAATTTATTTTTACTGTTTTTAATTCTGCAATTTGGTTTTTCCAATTTTTTATTTTGTTTTTATCATATTTAATTGTTATTATAATATATATATTTTTTAATATATATATTTATATTATCGTATTTTTCTATCGTATTTAATTTTTATTTTTAAAAATTAGAAGGACCATTGTCTACAATTAAGCTAACTCAAGACAAAATTGATTGGTCACGATTCTTATTACAGACAGAAAAAGTCAATCGTCGAAAAATGACGAAAGAATGTAAAGGATTAATGTCCCGGCTAATCTTGAGCAGTCTTAGCGAAGGTGATTAGGGTCAAAACGCAGTCACTTGTTCTCTCATGCAAGAATGCGTAACAATTAATTCTCATTATCGTGGAACAAACCGTTCCTCACAGCAAAAACGATTTTAATATAAGTGGAAGATCTTTTATTTCGAAACACAATATGAACCAACTGATCTGTTGACGGAGCATGAACAAAGTTCTTCACTCGATTTCTTCGTGCTTCGTGTTTTTTCCACGACATAAGGAGATATCGAATTATTATTACGAAATATTGTGATAACTGTGTGACTTATGTTAGAATCGAGAGAATCTTTTTCAAAAATATTTGTGCATTTATATTTAATTTAAATTATGCGAACGCCGTATCATGCTTTTGTAACATTAATGTTTGTGCTAAGAAGAAATTAAAATTATTTAAAATTTCGTCAATAAATTAAATTGCGAATAATAATTCATAAGAATTATAAGACTTCGAGATGACAAATTTATGCATTTATTACGCATGTGAAGGTGATTCTGCACGCGCTTGGATGACTGATCGAACTATTACGACGACAACGAATAATTATTATCCGTCCAGCGTTCCGTCCTACGGGACCAATTAATTATTCGCAAGACATCGAAAAAAAGGAATATAATTGTTTAGAGATAAAAAGTCGATCGAACCAGCCGTGATCTATGATATTTTAATAAAACGATAGTGCAATATCACTGAAAGATTTTTACGATATTAACAATGACTATAACAACCCTATGAGGATTTTACACTGTATACTTTAAGCTCCCGCAAATAATCAAATTTAAGGAGCAACGATGCGACACGCGTTTAAAGAGCACGTATAATTCTTTTTCATGTATATGTAGATATTATACGCGTGTGTTCGTCGCATGTGTAGAATCGTTTGTACATTTTTTTCCCCGAGTGTGAGCGTCGAAACTGTATAATAATTGTACAATTCTCGATCTGATCAATTGTGACGACGATATTTATTGAATAAAATCTGTTTTGCGAATACCTCTCCTATTAATTAATTGTCCGTCTCTTCGTTGTCGTTTGTTTACGATCACTTTCCTTAAATTATTACTTAGCCATTCTCATATTGACCTTTATTCTTATATGTAATCCCTCTGTAAAACCCTTTGCTATAGGACGCTCCTTTTTTCAGATAAACACGAAAAAATAATTAAACGGCGATATCTTCGAAACAATATGTTCTACGTAGTTGGGAAAGAATCGAAAAAATATGATTTGAGTATATAAGGTATTAAGTAATTATGTTATAACATACATATATGATACTTTAAACTCGATTAATATTTTCGACAGTTATCAGCTGATAACTGTCAAGAAATATTAATCGAGTTTAAATAACTATGTATTATTTTTTTTAAACATATTATTTTAATTCTTCAAATCTATTATTATATTTTAAAATTTAATTAGCAAAGTAACGCTTTAATCACCTAATTTTTGTCCAAAAATGTTAATGGAGTTAAAGTTTTAATAAACTTTATATATAATTTTTTGAATAGTAATCTTTTTAATATAAAAAAATCGAGGAATGTGTGTTGTTCTGGTTTTTCAATAAGCTGGAAATAATGAGACACGTGAAAAGAAACAAATAGGCATTTATTCACAAGAGGCAGGTGTAGTTACAGTAATTTCATTTCTGTCTTGCTTTTATGTATATATATACATATACATATATCATTATGTATATGTATGTATATTCTTGTATTTATAATAGTATCTCGTAAACCGTCTCGTAATTACTCGATTCGGTCCAACTACGCAATACAAATGGGCATGAACAATGGGGGCGGGTGCACATACAAAGTGTTTTCTTCTCTCGCACACGAAAAACGCGCAGTTTTCATCCGTCTTATTATTCGCCTCTTATTCTTTTTTTCTTATTTTACTTCCGACGCAGCGAGATTCCACCGTATAAAATTCTATATATGTGTATGTATATGTGTGTGTGTAAATGTGTGTTTGTGTCAAGATAAAATCTCGCTGTTCGTTTTCTATTCGCTTAATAAGATTCGTCGCATCTCGATCTCGACGAATCACTCGGAACGCGGACGTACTCGCGGAACGGGTGTGCTTTTTTTTTTTCTTCGTTTCTTCTTACTTTTATAAAGCGCTTCTCACCCGGATTGTCTCGCAAGGATCGATTCTCGCGACACCTCAGGTGAGTATCGTTTCGGGGGAGAGTGTCAACGGATAAGTTAGCACATGTTAAATTGATAATTGCCAAAGATCAATCGATGATTTGTGTGAATTTTCGTTTCGAAGAGGATTCTCTCCTCGTTTTCATTATTTCGAATCGGCGATTGATCCTCATAAAAGGGTTGTATCGGCAATCATCTAACTTATCCGAGCTGTCTTTCCCTCCCCCGTTTGCAAAAATCGGTGATAACAATATATAATATATAGTATGACAATACGACGATGGCGGCTCCTTAAATTTGTCCTCTATAGTAACGCGACGATGATGATCATGACAACAATGTAATAACAATGAGGCTTTCAGCGGCGATAGAGCGTGAATAATTATAAAATAATCCATAATCGATCTGTAATAATGACGGGTCATCGAATATAAAATACCCCTTATGTCAAGAAACAATAAGTAAGCAATAAGTATAAAAATAGAGGGATACTTTTCGAAAGACGGACAGAGAAAGAGAGAGAGAGAGAAAGAAAGAGAAAGGGATAAAGAGATAAAAAAAGGAGAAAGAAAGAGAGAATGAGAGAGAAAGAGAGAGAGAGAGAGAAAAGAGAGAGACACTGTAATTATCAATGAAGCATCGTGTTTTGTGCAGAACAATTCTTCTATCAGTATAGATTCGCGTTTCTTTCTCGTTAAGGGTATTACATGTCACGGTAAATACAGTAAGGTTCGCTATGCTATGTCAATTACAAGTGGCTCCTGTCATGTTTAACCATCCGAACCCTTCTCCTCCAACTCCTCCTCCAATATTATTTCTCCCGTGTCAACACTTATATAAAGAGACAGTTAAGCTATGCGCAATTTATGTGTGTATGTTCTGCTCTCTTTTGTATACACGTACTTGGGAATATGTGTGTGTGTGTGTGTGTGTGTGTATGAGAAAGTGAAATAATGCATCGTGTGCAAGTGCGGTGCGATGATGTGAATGTGTATATCCGTTGAATTCTCCATAGCTTCGGCCTTACTCTCTACACGTTTATATTATATTTACATCCATACCATTTATAATTCTTCTCTCTCACGATTTTTTCTGTCTTTCCTCTAAAAAAAAAAGGAAACGCACGAATTAAGAGAGATAGGCGAAAACTTGTCTGCGAAGTTACATTATTTTTCAAGAGAGATCGGTAATCACAATTTTTTGTAATTGTAGAAGCAAAATATACATCGAAGCACAAGAGAATATGCCAAAACACTGGTAACGAAATCTTCGACTTTGAAAACGAGAAATTTAATTTCGCAGAACAAATTCCCACTAAGCTCTTTCGATCCCATGTTTTATTACAGACTCGCGACGCCGATTGGCGATTTTTCTCTCCTACAATTCACTATACAATTCAATGCAAGTCAGTTATGCGACGCGCGTCTATCGAGATGTCATCCATCCAATCTCACGATACGAAACGAAACGAAAGAAAGATCTTGCGATAAACTATTTACATAATAATAGTAATCGCTCTGCCCAATCAGCAGCATACTCCATGCACACTCATCATCCTTTCACGCACACTCTCCCGCAACGCTCTATTATATCTCGCCTTCTTCTTCTTTCCGCTTCTCTCTGACTATTTTTTTTTCTTTTACTTAAAGTGCTACATAGAAATATCTTCGTTCTGGGTCCCGCACAACTTTGTATCTCTCGCAACGACGATGGCTCGTACGACGTGACCGTCCTCGCAGGACGACAAGAATTGCGCTCTCTTAATGGAAAAGAATCCCTCCGAGAAAAATAGAACGATGCGATTTTAGTAACTCGATCGCATATCTCATATTTTTTTCTCTGACTATAATCCATTAATAAACGTCACTTGAATTTATTTCAAAGAGAGCTGATTAATAGAGAAGAGTTTACAAATTATTTATCAAGTCTTAAAATACACTAAGCTATTTGTTCACATAATTATTTTAAAATGAGAAGAAATTAAAATTGATAAAAAATTAATTGGACATAGAGAGAGAGCACATATTCTGTCTAAATTCTGTCTAATATTCCATTTCTGAACCAGTAACAGCGGCGAGTCTCATTTACGTATAATCGTCATCAGTGTGCACGCGTGTACATTAGTAAGTGTATACGTGGATTTTGTGAATTCGCGGTGCGATGCGATCGAATTTTTAAATATTACCACAAAAACGTCTGAATCGTTTTCTAAATTCTACGATAGCGGCGATCGCTAGTGCGAGATGCAATCCATGCTTGGCACCTACGTGTTTCTACGTAAGTAGGGCTAGTATGTGTGTAGATGCGTGTCTTAAATCGTACATCTGACTCTTTTTTAACAATTGCTTTTGCACGAACATACATCTTTCGCATGCATCTATCCCTTGAATAGCGATCGGAAAAAAGTGCAGTGGCCTGATATGCATACGATTTTTCAGCTGTAATACGTTATTGTGTGCTACGATGCGTCTAGCGATAATAATTATTATTTACCGTTCGCGTTTACGAAAATAATCATTATCATCGATAACAATTATTAATACCGTGGTTATTCGATTTAATCATTTATTATCGCGGACGCGTTATTTTCGCATCTTAATCACTGATTTTCTCGCCTTTGCTGCCCTCCCCCATCCACCCTTTCCCCCGATTCAAAGTCTAAAGGACGGTCGCGGTATAAGTATTTGTCGTATCGGCTTCATAATCTCCGAAGTGCTGCAAGTTCTTTTTTTTTTTTTTTTTTAAAGCTCCTACTAATTCGCCATAAAAAATAAACTCCCTATCGGCCGTCGTGTTAACGTGCGCGTGTGTATGTCTACCGAAGTTTCCTCGAACCTATCGCGCATCTCGTCGCCGAAAAACGCGGTAAGTTCGCGGGATATCCGATACAGTCGCGGTGCGCGTGCTGGTGTGTTTGTCTGTGCGGAAGTGCGTTCTTCTTCGCACGCATGTATGTACGCGTGTGTGTCCCGTACGACCCGGTCATCTCCCTCGTCTCGCTTCTCTAATCTGTACACCCGAGAATACACGCCACACGTGAGTTTATATATTATATTTATATTTATATATATATTTTTATATATATATATATATATACGCAAGCTCTCTCTATAGCTCTCCTCGAATCTCCTCGAATGCCTTCGCGGATATTATGCTTACTACTACGTTAACTGCAGCTCACTCATTCTCCGATTCGCTCGTGAAATTCTATGGGCGGGTTATTCCTTCTCTTTTCCCTGCCAATTCGAGCAAGCAGTTGATTAAATTTAGCGCGTAATCATCACCTCGTGTATGTACAGACAATTTATTCTTCGAACACTCTTTCGATTCCTTCGTATTCCTCCACCCCTAATCTATCGATTTTTCGCGAATATTCGCAAGCTAGTACATGCTGCCTCTTAAAAATTTCCGACATGCTCGCCGCGCGACCCAATATCGCTTCCAACTCTCGACAAATTCGCGAATTCCTTCTTCCCTTACCATACATTGCATAACATACATAACATCATATCGACATAGGTAAGCGTAGTCCACTATAGCTGTGGTACTGGTATAGCACTCTGTGGAATTTTTCGCGAAATTTCAGTCGTTTACATCATAAAGAGAATATCCATTTGCCCTACAGCGCCTCCTGGCACTTCAGACTCTATTTTCATGTTTCTTTAAGGATTGCTCTCCCAGCGGGCAAGCTGGATACGCCTGGTGTCCAAAGAGGGTGAAAGCAGCGACTTGAGGGACGCGCTCGGCGGTGAGCTTCCGAAATACTTGAGGGTCAACGGCGACTGGAGATGCCTGTGTCGGATCACCTCTCGCTCAGCAGGCAATGGCCAGAGTTCCTGGACAGTCGGGGAACTGATTCGATTAATCGAAAATGTTCAATTACTCGTTTCAAATTCTTTAATCTTGCACACACATATATATATGTACATACAATATTCATGTATATTACCTGCAGCGAGAGAGCCTCGTCTCAGGATTCGCCCTGCTTGTTTCTACGGCCAGTCAAGGAACCAACTAAAGACTTCAAGGTCGCGCCTAACCCTCTGCCACTCGGAGTATTAAGACTGCTAGCATTTCTAAAACCCTGCGGATGTGCGTCCAAGCATTTCTGATACCTCAGCTGAAAAAGAAATACAGATATCTTCTTCATTTATCGCCTTCTTTCAGCAAGAGAGCTTTGGCAGGATCGTAAAAAGAGAGATTCTCACTTTACAAGCGGCCTCGATTGTTTTGCAGAGAGCTCCGCTGCTAGGCTCGCAGTTGAAAACGTGTGCAATGAACAAATCTTGCGCGGTATGCATGATAAAAGCGCATTGCTTCACGTTGCGACCGATACCGAGGAATGACAGGTAGCGTACTCGACACTCGGTGATGAGCTTGTCATCCTGAAACGATTATTAATCGTTATGAATAATCGTTTTTAATAATAATTTTTCAATGCTCAGATGCTGATATCTTTAATATACTCACGTTCGGCGTAAGAATTGAAATCATGCTAGGAGCTACGGCGACGTTGACGTTTCGCCATTGATTGAGCGGCGTATTCGTCACGATATGTTCTATCGCCTCGTTCAACACCTCCATGCCAGTCGCCTGATTGACTTGCATGGATCCGAGATACTGCGCTCGCAGCACCTTTTTCGGCTCTTCCATCGGCGTTGGAAAAGATTGTGCTGCGCGAAAATAATACAAGAATTATTTAATAATCTTTTTAAACTTATTTTTCATTTTCAAATAACTCTCCAACTTTAGTTTTTTTTTTTTTAATGATATTTCTGTCTTCATTTGTCAATTTATTATGAACAAAGTATCTTCTTATTAGATATATTTCAGATAGACCAATTTAATTTACCAATTATTATTTAAAGAAATAGTAAAATAAAAGATTTTATTTATTTTTGAAAAATTTTTGAAACTACTCACTGACTAGTGCTTGACCGTTTCTGTGGAAGCGTCGATGTTCAGTGGGCAGATTAGTAGGTCTCGTAGCTAGACTAGTCCGGCCATTGATGTCCACCGGTTTCGCTAGATTCTGATGCTGTGAACGCTCGATCATTATCTTCTTACAAATGTCGCGAAGCGTGTTCGCGATCGTGCGCGCCGGAATGTCGCAACGGAACACGTGACACATGTGTTTCCTGGTAGATCGATCTCTTGCTACGTAAGCAAAATCCCTGAAGAAAGCAATATATATTTAATTAACAACTTCTGTTTCGCCAAACAAAAAGTTCTCACTTTAATTTATATTTTTTTATAGAATACAATTTTGTTATCATCGTATATTTTACCTTTCGCTGTTAGGTCCGTCCAAAGAAAACCACATTCATGAAAACAATGCGAATATATGCATATATTAGTAAAATATATATACCTCACGTAATATATTTAATAAAAAGATTGAAGAATCTGACATTCTAGAAATTCTCGGAACTCAGTTCTTCGATTCATTCAAAGATAATTAATATTTCACTCACCGACAGTGATCTCTTCCTACGCCCCATACCCTAACTGTATGAATAGGCTGCGTGTTTAATACGGTGAGATTCTCTGGATCGATTAGTTTGAGCGCCCCTTCGTCCAAGTCCATAAATAGATCCTTGCCCTGAAATATTTCGTAATATATTTCTCATCGCGTGTTTATTGCACAAAATTTATCTTGGTTTATTCCATTGATCATTTCAGAGGTCTAAATATACATTCGCTAATCAGACGTTTATTTTAATTTTAAATTCTATCACATTCAGACTGTTTTTCTCGTTGCTCTCATGTATCTTTTTTTTTTATTTTATCGTTAATAAAATGTAAACTTAATCTATATCTGGTTTTCGAAAGAAAACACTTACGTCGCCCCATCGTCCAACGACATCCAACAGATCGTTTCTACCGAGTGAAAGATCCACGATACACTTGTTCACGGCCTTGCTGCTTCTCTCAGGTGTTAGATCCTCTTCCGCAATTTCCGTCCAACCTAAGGATCGCACGGCAAATCTGATCGGCTTGTCTCTGCCCTCGGAATCCGCTCTTGCGGGATAGCTTCTTCGTCTGAAAGAAATAAATGAAGTGAATCGATGACAATCGGCCATGTAAGAGCGAGGCGATATTCGCTTACTTGAGCGCCAATTCCATTTTCCTTTTGCTTTCCAATTCCTGGTCCAGAGCCGAGCTCGTGTTGCTGCGAGTCACCGTGTTCACCATTCCGCTCAAAGTGTGAAAATTGTTTATCTAAAACGGTAGCGTTGCAAATTAAATATACATAATACACATAAATATATAATTTGTAATTTATATTATTATTAATATCAATAAATTATAATTACAAAATGTTTTAATAAATTATTCTACTCACGCTATCATTATCCTTGACCAGACTTCGACGCGCTTCCGTTTTTGAATGCAACGGAGCCTCTGGAGGTTCTCTCTGTATATTGCCGCTTTTCACATGCCAATAATAAGGTCCATTCTCATCTAAAACAGTATTTGATTTTATGATTAATAAAACTTGAAAGCTTCCATTATTTATAATAGCCGCGTATTAATTTTCGATTTTATCATTTTCGATATATCATTTCTTTAATGAAAGAAGAGATATCGAGAAAACTAGAGAAAATCTTGAAGAAAATTAATGCGAGAAACATCAATTTATTTATTAATATTTTTCATGTATACTCATTTTTTTGTAATGCATTTATTTTAAATTTTTTTTTCAGCGGCATTTTTTCTACCAAGGATTATTTATATCTAAATCTAAAAATTATTTCGATACGATTACTCGGATTTCGTGTATCGATTTGAGAATGGAATACTATTTCAACCCTGCTCGACTACTCACCCTCGTGCTTCTGCCATCCGGCCGGCAGATTCTCATCTTTATCCTCGGAATCGGTGCTATCCACGTCCGTCGGTTTCTCCTGGGTATTGTTCTGCAGAATCGCATTGTTCTTCTGGTCTTTTGGCTGTCGTCGTTTCACCGGCACCGCGTACAACTCACTGTTCAGGCCACCCTCCACGTGCGGCACACCTCCCATCTCTGTGGTCTCGTTGTCAGGTTTCTCGCAATAACTGAAGTGCAAAGACAAGAAAAACCGAGGGTCAAAAAAAAGTAGGTTCAAATCCAAAAGTTCGCGTCATCGCGACGATGTCTACTGAATACTCAAGCGACAATATATATTCAAAAGTCTAGGATTGGTCTAAAAGATGTCTCAAGGAGGTCTGATATTTCGACATCTTTTAGAATTTTGTATCTACCTTAATTCAAATCATAGGCGGACTCGTAATTTTTTCTTTACCTGTATAAAATGTAACATATGCTGGAAAGTATACTTTATTTTATTTTATTTTTTTATTAGAGGATACGCAAAGCATATTAAACATTGTTGAAAATGACAAACACGCCTTTACTAAATCCGTCTATGATTAAAACGTATCTTTACAAACATGTCTCTAAATATTGTATTTTGCATGTACTTTTAATATTAGAAAATAAAAATAAAAAGAGAATCAAGATCAATATTAATTATAATCGGCCATAAGAAGTGCAGCAGAAACAGGGAGTTACAGCTCTTATTTATTCAACGAGGAAATCAGCGATAGTACATAGTGCAAGCTCATCAATTTCACCACAGCGATATACAAAGCTTCGTGAAAGAAATATCCATTTTCATTTATCGGCCCTAAATGCGGATCTAAAAATTTCGTTATTTACCATTTGCTATTCCCGACTGAGATTACTACGACCTACGCGCGGCTCGTTTCAATTCGTTTCGCATCATCACGAGGAGGCGGCCACACGCGACAAGGTTGTTCGCTAAAAAAAAAAGTCCTCTCTCTCTCTGTTATATCGCGAAACTGCACGAGTGCGCAATTGTGTTCGTACTGTCGCGTGACTTGAGGGAATTTCAGTTCACGTCATTTCAGGGCGAATCACGATCGCCGAAATAAGCGGCTTGATTTATCGCGTCATTGTCCGATCGCGTTCATTCGTCTACGGGAAAACGAATCGGCGAACATTCGGCGACGATCGTCATCTACGACGGAATGACAAATTGATTTCCGCTCGTTAGATCGTCTCACGACTGACGGCCGTGCCATCTCGCTCGTAAACCATTACTATTGATCCTCTCGGCTATGTAGTCGCCCGTTATCGTCGCCACGAGAAGTCCTCGCGTGCTAATCGAAGTCGGGCGCGACACGAGTCGGCCAGCAGGAGATTATTTACAGGGACTGTAAAATAAAACGTCCTTTGCGAGCGAGCGAGCGAGGAGAAATTGCGCTTCGTACTTGGGAGTGATGTAAAATTATATATATCGTGCACATTCATAAAAGGGACCCAAGATTTTATGTGAAATTGGGGTGAATAAGAGGGAATGACCTGTATACATGCAGTGAAGAGACTGTAACAGGTGTCTGTCGCGTCTGTCAAGTGTTTGGTTCCAGGGGAGGCAAAAACGTTCGAAGTTTACTTTTATTTCAAACATTATGCAAATGGCCGCAACGTTATGTAATGATCAGAAAATGCATAATTCGGGAAAGTTTAAAAAGACTTCAAAGAGTTATATGATAACGTGATAGTAAGATAATTCAATAACTTTTGATCGCTTTTACATAGTTGATTAATCTTACGAATTGTAGTGCCGATAAAAAATTATAATACTGGTAAGAATAATAATTTTACACACAAAGGATAAGTGCGATAAAGCGAGTCAATATTCGCGGTTGTTTATTAAATTCAAGACCGGTTATTCACATTTGCTTTTAGTATAGGATCCAACTACTACTATATTTTTTAAAGTGAAATGTGCAGGAAGGAGCAACGTGGCTACCCCAGTGGAAAGAAAAGTATTTTACTTTGTAATACAAGAGAGCTCGAGACAAGTACGACTTGTACTGGCAGCACGAAATTGTATTTTACTTTCTGATACGAGCAACGCGCGCGCGAGTGACAGATGATCAGCTGTTGCAACGCAACCGAGAAAAAATGTGTATATAAAAATAATGGTATCTACGGTCGACCATGGAAATTTCGCAGGATTATTTCGTGATCCTTTTTTAAGCCACTGTTGTTCGCGCGTGAAAAATATCGCGATAGATAATAAGTCATTTTTACAAATGAGAAATTTTTATGGAAGAGAAAACATACTTATATGATATACGTCATATGTCACGTATAATATACAGTTTCATCAAAGTGAGCAAAGTGCTGTCACTGATACTATTTCTCTCGGCTTAACGTTCGCGATTCATTCTTCAAATACGCGGTATTCATGGATTCTGCCACGCAGTATCACAATATGATGTGCAACAATGTGAGTACACGAACGGATAGGTGGATCTACACACACACACACACACACACACACACATAGCTCTCATCTGCGAGTACAGACAGGGTTGTTTACGCGAAACTCGGGTATTTCGTTTCGCGACGGGGCATTCTCGCTACTACAACGGCAAACAGAAGCGGCAACTTGAGACACACAAAAGAGAAGCGACGAACAGAGTGGTAACAAGCGGACTATATCATCAGCAGGAAGGATTGGGTACCACGAGATCACACGAGTGTGTTTCGTACGTACTTTCTCGACCCGGAAGTGTCCGTAGCGTCGATCGATCCTGACTGTAGGGTGTGAGATTGAGGCAGGATCGCGCTCGACGACGACGGGGATGACGAGCGGGGATTCCCGTTGAGGGTGTCGTCGACGAGAGCGGACTCCGCCACACCCTCGCAGCCGTACCTGAATCAGCATCGTTCATGCAAAGCATTACAAGGGGATGTATTGTCGACGGGCGTAGTAATGATAATGGCGCCTATCGCGATTCTCGATAGGATAAGTATCGCTCGTTAACCCTTAAGTGCACACGATACGCATCTGATACAATTCTTTTATGTGTTCGACTCATTTTTTTTTTCATCAACAATTTCAAGGTTTTAAAGGTTAACTCGGACTTGGTATTTATTTAAATACATTTTATAGATTTTTATTGCGATTTTTTTCAGTGTTTCAAGTATTTTATTCCTTTATTGTTGATTTAAAAATGCGCCGTTTATTTATTTTTTTTTAAACCTTATTATTTTATGTAATTAAGGTCTTACGATTAGTTATATATTAAGAGTTCTAAATCAAATCTTTTTCTAACTCCCAAAAATATTTATATACATATATTTTATTATATATATAATGTACAGATATGTATGAGTTATATAGAATTTATGCGCGCGATTTCACGAGATCGATTTATAAGGCTATTAATAAATTTAATAAAGCATATTAATCAGTATTTAAATTTGGTTGTTCCGTATGCATTTTTATCTCGAATGCGTGCGCTCTCGTTCTTCGTAGATGAAAATCGCACGGCTGTAAGAAAGTGACATTTTAATTAACGATCGAGAAACAGAACCGACGCGGTTAGTATAGGATCGCTAAGCATGTCGAAGTAATTAAGGGATTAGTCGAGCGGTTTGCTGACTAACGCCAGTTGCCTCTCCTGAGTATCGTTCGGGCGTATTAGAGGAGTATCTAAGGACCGACGTTCCTTTTGAACATACTCGAGGAATACGGAATTCTGGACTTTGAGGCCTTTAATCGCCGAGATTATAACGAACGACTCGCGAGCTTGCAAGAACTTCTCCGCGATATCGGTCGACTTTGCTTACTTTGTACTTCAAAGACGTCCATATTAAAAGTTTCAGTAAATTAAAATGAACAATGTTTGCATAAAGAGTGCGAAGAACGTTATCTCTTCTCCTTTCTCTCCTTATAACTTTTCAATCTTGTATAATCGTATGTTGTATCATATGTACCTATATATCTTGAGACGACAATTTAGCAAATTATTAACCAAGTTTGGATTTTTATTTAGAATTATCGTACCACGGCTATATTATATAATTCTTGTTAAGAATCAAGCAGATGCAAACAGTGCATCGACATACTTGTTACTCTCAACTTTCCTAATTACATGATAATAATCGCGATAATTTTTCGTACGTGTCGCTAATTGGTGAACCTACTTCGTCGCTTACAGTTAGAGAAAACTAGTAATTGCGTGCTATGTGGTTGGAAAAAAGTTTTTAAACTTTTTCGCGTATTGCAATATATATATATATATATATATATATATATATATATATATATATACCACAAGAAATAAAATAACGTAAAAAAAACTGATTAAAAAATTTGCTAATAAATCGTGCAGAGAGATAATTTTGAGAAAGCTCATGTAGTCTCCGTATAAAAAAAAGAAGAAAAAAACTTAATTTAATTTAAAAGCGTGACGCGACAAAGATGACGACACGCATAACGGCACGCAAAGTCAAACGATATATAATTTCGCGCAAGTATTTGGGTTAGGAATAGCACGAGGGATGCTTTGGAAATTCGCCAGAAGTTTTGGTAAGGGGAAAGGCCCCTGTATTTCGTTAGAACACGAGAATGGCGCAGAACGATCGATGAGATATCGGTCTCTACCGAGAATTTCTTGTCGATCAACACTCTTGAGACTCTTTCAATGTCGCATTTCACACCGAAATGTCGGATATGGATTCGATAATCGGATATAATGATTTATCGAATTACGAATATTATGACGCGCTCTCTGAATCATGTTAAACGGATTATTAATTAATCTATAATAATCTCATATTCGGCCGCATCGAACCGAACGGACCGACGAGAGCTTTATCGGGAATAAAATCGCAATCCTGACGCATTGACGTAATTCGTTTCGCAAGAACGTTAATTCGATTCCCGATCGCGAACCGCGATAATGTTATATAGCCGGATCGTTATTAATACTATTAATCCCAGGATTGGTGAGGTGCTGCCACAGTAGTATCTGGAATACCGGGTTATTGACACTGGGCGCATCGATCGACCATATCGAGAATATATATCCATATAGTATAATATGAGCTCGACGATCCGAGTGAACGATGATGTAGACAATTTAAATCGAGACACTCCGAGATTCATCTCGAGATGGTCGCGAATCGATATAGTGAGACGATAATGGACCGTGACTCATCTTTGTAAGATGAGAGATATCCTGTCTAGAATTCTATAAAAAATAAAGGAGGCACAAAATTGAGAAGGCTGCGTGAAATTAATCTAAAAAAAATTTTTCTTTAGATTTTTTGCTACTCTTTCTGGGATATATTAATGGCACGTCGCGTTAAGTAGCAAAAAAGAAAGATAACTGATCGCGCGATATAACTAAAATCAGCTACCGGAGGACAGTAATTGTGATCCAAGCGGCGTGCGTACATGCGAGCATCGCCGTAACTTTCAGTCAGGTGTAATTAAACCCAATTAGGTCGTAAGGTGAGCAACTTCTGACGCACCTGGCTGGGCCGTAAATTACGCCGGCAAGTCTCCCTCTGTGTCTATCTCGCCGGCACCATGATTACAGTATTCGTAATTTTATGGTTTCTGCTCGAGAATGTGGATCATTATCTTCTGATTATATTGCTATCATCGTAAATCACGGCCTTTTTCAGGGAAGCGCGAATTAAATCGTCAGGTAAGGCACAGGGCGAAGAGAAATTATTTTTGTAATTCTAACGCATTGAATAAAATATAAAATGGATAAAAAATAGTCGTAAACAAACAAAAAAAAAGAAATAATAAAGATAGAAGAGAAAAAAATAAACTGAATATTTTCGTTCATAATTAATATTTCAGATTTATGCTGTATCGATCGCCCGTTAACATGTCCTGCATTCTGCTAATGCCTATGTAGCAACTATCGGTTTTCCCCCATTAATGGAATCTGACAAACGCTTGACCACGACGGAGAGAGAGAAAGAGATAGAGAGGAACAGAGATAGAGAGAGAGAGAAACCTAAATTACAGAGTGTTGGAAAGACCGATATTTCGGGTGTCTGTGATTCACTGTCGGTGTTTGTCGATCGGCAGAAACAACGGCCGATTGACCATGACGTGGACATCAGCGAGGGCAGGTGATTTGCATGAAGGGAGTTAGAAGAGAGAGAGAGGGAAAAAGCGAGAAAGACCCTAAGTGAGGAAAAAGTGGCGCACGCCCGAAACACCGTGTAGGGTAGATGAACGTTCATGCAAAGTGCGACACAGAGTAAAAGAGAGAGAGAGAGAGAGAAAGGAAAAGGGAAAGAGAAATGGAGAAAGAGAGCCGAGCTACTCTTCTCCTCGCTCGATCAATACACACTACACAACCACCCAACCAACCCCCAACCCACACACACACCCTCTGCCCCATAGCAGCAACCCCTCGACCACTGTGTGGCGCTCACCCGCCAACGTCACCCCATTTCGAGCTCTACCTAACCAATGCACACACACACACACACACACATATACACATATAGATATACATCGAATGGACGATACTGATCTCTATCGTATTGATAAAACGGCCGTTGCTGTTTCTGCCGTCTTTTCAAACTGATATCGGCTCGATATCGATTTCGCGACGATGCGATCAAAGAACGATTGGCATACGTGTTACGCGGAGATTATTCCCGAGACTTGCGAGCATCGGTATTCGATTCGAACGAGTGTCGTGAGAAGAACTCGTGCTGAAATTCGAGCCTGGTACTGCGCGTGAAAAGAAATACAGTAGCGCTCTGTTATTGTTGAATTGCCTGCCTAGAACACGTAGAATCGCTAGTTAGGGCCCTGTCGAAGCTAGAAAGTATTCCCCGAGGCCCTTTCACCCTTCGAGTAGCTGGCATAGTGCCGCATACAACCCGCCGAGGTAATTAAGTTTCCGGCCGATCCGATGGGAGGAAGTCTCGAGAGCTTCGGAGCCTGCTCGTGGTTTCTCCAAATACATTGGTGGCCTCGCACAATTAAACAGCTACTACAACTTTGTGCAAAAATCGTTAACCTCCGTAAACTCATCAATTTTGGTTTTATCAAAAAGGAAGAGAGTATACGCCTAATTAAAAAGATGAAATAAATCTGAATTATATCATAATAATGAACGTAAAAAATTACATTAAGAAATGGAAGTTATGATAATAAATTATGCGACATAGAGTATCAAGATCGATATAGAATAAATTAATAATATAAAAATAATATACGTCAGTTTCTTGAATACTTATAGCGTTGTTAGGAAAAGAATCAAAAGATTAAATAAGACTCGTAGCGTTGAAAGCGAAGTTAACGATTGAAAAACGCCGATCTATACGTTGTTTCGTAATGAGAACGTGTTCCGATAAATGATTCAATTCCCACAAATAAATTGATTCGCAGAAAGGAACTGAATCACCTCCGTGGGAAAGACTTCTTGAGTAACAGACTGATTTCATTATACTCTTAAATTTTTTTAATAGTTGCTATTTCTTTAATTAACTTCAAAATATATCTAGAAATTATATTGTTTCAATTTATATAATCACTGACGAATATTATCGCGAATGCATCTATATGTGAACTATTGATTCTAAAAAGCGTGAAAAATTTCGCGCGAATTATTATAATCGTAAAATTTTTATCGAACACGATAAACTTTATTATACGGTGCACACGGTCTGCTTTAGGCACAGTAAACTATAGTACTTGTTCCATTGCTATTCTAAGGCTGGCAAAACAGCGTCTCATCACGATCGCCATAATATAATGTCGAGAAATTTCTCAGCGAGTTAATCCGTTCCTTATTTCGATTAATCTTTTTAAGTACTGCGTTTCCGGAAAATCACGCAACATTTAACAAGGTAATTTCTACTTGTATAATCTCGCTTCTTTGCAGC